ATTTTTTGGGGATTTTTTGGGGGATTTTTTGGGAATTTTGGGGATTTTTGGATCCAAAAAATTCCCAAATTTTGGGAATCCCAAGAATTCCCAAAAAACCCCTCCAGAACACTCCAAAATCCCCAAAAATCCCACAATTTTAACCCGATTTAAACGGGATTTTTTGGGATTTTTTTATTGAATTTTTGGGGATTTTTGGGGATTTTTGGGGATTTTTTGGGGATTTTTTGGGGGATTTTTTTGGGAATTTTGGGGATTTTTGGATCCAAAAAATTCCCAAATTTCGGGAACTCCAAGAATTCCCAAAAAATCCCCAAAATTCCCCCAAATCCCCCGATTTTAACCCAATTTTTGGGGATTTTTTGGGGATCTGGGTCCCCCCTGGGCCGATTTTCCCGGGGTTTTTTTTGGGATTCCCGGGAATTTCGGCTCCGGAATTTTCCGGGGATTCCCGGGAATGCCGGACCTGTCCAAGATGGAATTCTCTCAGGGAGATTTTTTGGGAATTTTTTTTGGGGGGGGATTTGGGTGAATCCCAGTGGGAATTTTGGGGAATTTTGGGGATTTTTTGGGGATTTTTTTATTGAATTTTTGGGGATTTTTGGGGATTTTTTGGGGATTTTTTGGGGGTTTTTTTGGGATTTTTTGGGGAATTTTGGATCCAAAAAATTCCCAAATTTTGGGAATCCCAAGAATTCCCAAAAAAACCCCAAAAATCCCCCAAATCCCCCGATTTTAACCCGATTTAAACGGGATTTTTGGGGATTTTTTAATTGAATTTTTGGGGATTTTTTGGGGATTTTTTTTGGGAATTTTGGGGATTTTGGGATCCAAAAAATTCCCAAATTTTGGGAATCCCAAGAATTCCTAAAAAACTCCTCCAAAACACCCCAAAATCCCCAAAAATCCCCAAATTCCCACAATTTTTACCCAATTAAAACGGGATTTTTGGGGATTTTTTGGGATTTTTTTGGGATTTTTTGGGGGATTTTGGGGATTTTTGGATCCAAAAAATTCCCAAATTTCAGGAATCCCAAGAATTCCCAAAAAAAACCCCAAAATCCCCAAATCCCACAATTTTAACCCGATTTAAATGGGATTTTTGGGGATTTTTTGGGGATTTTTTGGGATTTTTTGGGATTTTTTTGGGGAATTTTGGGGGATTTTTTTGGGAATTTTGGGGATTTTGGGATCCAAAAAATTCCCAAATTTTGGGAATCCCAAGAATTCCTAAAAAACTCCTCCAAAACACCCCAAAATCCCCAAAAATCCCCAAATTCCCACAATTTTTACCCGATTTAAATGGGATTTTTGGAGATTTTTTGGGGATTTTTTGGGGATTTTTTGGGGGATTTTGGGGATTTTTGGATCCAAAAAATTCCCAAATTTCAGGAATCCCAAGAATTCCCAAAAAAAACCCCAAAATCCCCAAATCCCACAATTTTAACCCGATTTAAATGGGATTTTTGGGGATTTTTTGGGGATTTTTTGGGATTTTTTGGGATTTTTTTGGGGAATTTTGGGGGATTTTTTTGGGAATTTTGGGGATTTTGGGATCCAAAAAATTCCCAAATTTTAGGAACTCCAAGAATTCCCAAAAAATCCCCAAAAATCCCCAAATTCCCCCAATTTTAACCCGATTTAAATGGGATTTTTGGGGATTTTTTTATTGAATTTTTGGGGATTTTTTGGGATTTTTTGGGGATTTTTTTGGGATTTTTTTGGGAATTTTGGGGAATTTTGGATCCAAAAGATTCCCAAATTTTGGGAATTCGAAGAATTCCCAAAAATTCCATCCAAAACACCCCAAAATCCCCAAAAATCCCCAAATTCCCACAATTTTTACCCAATTAAAACGGGATTTTTGGGGATTTTTTGGGATTTTTTTGGGATTTTTTGGGGGATTTTTTTGGGAATTTTGGGGATTTTTGGATCCAAAAAATTCCCAAATTTCAGGAACTCCAAGAACTCCCAAAAAACCCCCAAAAATCCCCCAAATCCCCCAATTTTTACCCAATTTTGGGGGATTTTTTTGGGATCTGGGTCCCCCCTGGGCCGATTTTCCCGGGGTTTTTTTGGGAATTTTGGGGATTTTTGGATCCAAAAAATTCCCAAATTTCAGGAATCCCAAGAATTCCCAAAAAACCCCCAAAATCCCCCAAATCCCCCAATTTTAACCCGATTCAAACGGGATTTTTGGGGATTTTTTTTGGGATCTGGGTCCCCCCTGGGCCGATTTTCCCGGGGTTTTTTTTGGGATTCCCGGGAATTTCGGCTCCGGAATTTTCCGGGGATTCCCGGGAATGCCGGACCTGTCGAAGATGGCGCCGACGCCGGCGCTGTGGGCGCTGTTGCGGTGAACGTGGAGCCCGGTGGCCAAAAGGATCCCGTCCTTAACAGCGATGGAGCGGTGAGAGAACGACGCGATCAGCAGCTCGTTCCAGCCTGGAAATTCGGGAATTTTTGGGAATTTTTGGGATTTTGGGAAGGAGAAATAAAATTTATATAAAAACCAAAAAAACTGGGAGAAAATCCGGTGAAATTCCGAGGAAAAACGGCCAAAAAATGGGAAAAAATTGAATTTTTTGGGTGAAAAAAGAGAAAAAATCTCATTCCAGCCTGGAAATTTTTGGGAATTTTTGGGAATTTTTGGGATTTTGGGAAAGAGAAATCAAATTTATATAAAAACCCAAAAATTTGGGAAAAAATCACAAAAAATTTTGAGGAAAAACGGCCAAAAAAGACAAAAAAATTGAATTTTTTGGGGTGGGAATGGATGAAAAGTTGGTTCCAGTCTGGAATTTTTTGGAAATTTTTGGGAATTTTTGGGATTTTGGGAAGGAGAAATAAAATTTATATAAAAACCCCAAAAATTGGGAGAAAATCCGGTGAAATTTTGAGGAAAAATGGCCAAAAAATGGGAAAAATCCGGAATTTTTGGGGTGGGAAAAGGAATTTTTTGGGAATTTTTTGGGAATTTTTTGGGAATTTTTGGGATTTTGGGAAGGAGAAATCAAATTTATATAAAAACCCAAAATTTGGGAAAAAATCCCAAAAAATTTTGAGGAAAAACGGAAAAAAAAGACAAAAAAATTGAATTTTTTGGGTGAAAAAAGACAAAAAAACCTCGTTCCAGCCTGGAAATTTGGGAATTTTTTGGGGTTTTTTTGGGATTTTGGGAAGGAGAAATCAAATTTATATAAAAACCCAAAAAATTGGGAGAAAATCCGGTGAAATTTTGAGGAAAAACGGCCAAAAAATGGGAAAAAATTGAATTTTTTGGGGTGGGAAAAGGAATTTTTTGGGAATTTTTTGGGAATTTTTTGGGGTTTTTTGGGATTTTGGGAAGGAGAAATCAAATTTATATAAAAACCCCAAAATTTGGGAAAAAATCACAAAAAATTTTGAGGAAAAACGGCCAAAAAATGGGAAAAAAATTGAATTTTTTGGGGTGTGAAATGGATGAAAAGTTGGTTCCAGCCTTGAATTTTTTGGGAATTTTTTGGGAATTTTTGGGAATTTTTGGGATTTTGGGAAGGAGAAATAAAATTTATATAAAAACCCAAAAAATTGGGAGAAAATCCGGTGAAATTTAGAGGAAAAACGGCCAAAAAATGGGAAAAAAATTGAATTTTTTGGGGTGGGAGAGGACAAAAAACCTCGTTCCAGCCTGGAAATTTGAAAATTTTGGGGTTTTTTTGGGATTTTGGGAAAGAGAAATCAAATTTATATAAAAACCCCAAAAATTGGGAGAAAATCCGGTGAAATTTTGAGGAAAAACGGCCAAAAAATGGGAAAAAATTGAATTTTTTGGGGTGGGAATGGATGAAAAGTTGGTTCCAGACTGGAATTTTTTGGGAATTTTTTTGGGAATTTTTGGGATTTTGGGAAGGAGAAATAAAATTTATATAAAAACCCAAAATTTGGGAAAAAATCCCAAAAAATTTTGAGGAAAAACGGAAAAAAAAGACAAAAAAATTGAATTTTTTGGGTGAAAAAAGACAAAAAAACCTCGTTCCAGCCTGGAAATTCGGGAATTTTGGGGTTTTTTTGGGATTTTGGGAAGGAGAAATCAAATTTATATAAAAACCCCAAAATTTGGGAAAAAATCACAAAAAATTTTGAGGA